TAGAGTTTATAGACCATGGGGGAAAAAAAAAAAAAAAAAAAAAAAGAGGAAAAAGTTCGGGAATCCCACTTGTGACACTATGTTTTAATAGGGAGAACTAAAAATAAATATAAATAGTAGTAATTGACTGTGCAGAAATATTTGTTAGTGGTTTGTGTGTTTACCTTTAATTTGATGTCAAAATTAAGCTTTTGTCACAAATAAAAATTTCTCTAATATATATATTTCTCAAAAAAACTTGTCTCTTATTTTATTTTATTATTTCACTTGTCTCTAATATACTACGTATATACGTAGTATTTCTCAAAATAAATTTCCCATGGGTCTGATAGGGAGGGTCTGCAAAGACAGCATGCATGAAGATATATATGAAGGGCAGTCCTGAGGACATTTGTCTTAAAAAGGGTAGCCAAACAAAAAAAATTGGGGAGCACTACTATGCACTAGTGTGGGGGGCATTTCTCCTTCATCTTTTTCTAAGTCCCCCCGGACCACTACGTACCATTTGTATATTGTTCATACACAAAAATATGTTAGGGGATACCCCAATTTTAACCTAATCATCTTGTCACTACCTTCTTATTTATATACTCCCTCCGTTCCTAAATAAACTTTCGTTTTTGACTTTTTGATGATTTAAGGGAGAGATATTTTGGTGTTGACTTTTCAAAAATACCCTTGATGTGATGTGTAAAAGTAAGATGTGATATGTAGATTATTAGTAAAAAGGTATGATGTGATAGGTAGGGTATGAAAAAGTAAAGGGTAAAAGAGGTTTTTTAAAGGAAAAGAGAAGTTTATTTGGGGACAAAAAAAAAATGAAAGAGGAAGTTTATTTAGGGACGGAGGGAGTATATAAATATATATATATATATATATATATATACACACACATATACATATACATATGCATATGCATATGCATATACATATGCATATGCATATACATATACATATACATATACATATACATATACATATACATATACATATACATACATACAACATACATACATACATACATATATATATATATATATATATATATATATATATATATATATATATAAAGATACTTGCGTTAATTCATGTTTGTAAATATCCATGATAAAAGTGATATATATCAAAATTGATATCACAATTAGAATTTGTGTTTGACTTCACACAAGTTATGATAAATTTTATCAAAGAGATGGAATTTCTAGTTTGTCCCCGGCCTGATATGACTTTGATGGAATGTGATTGGGATAAAACATAGAGTGTAATATGAGGATGGATATAAAAACTGATTGAAAAGGAAAAAGATTGGTGAAATATAATACTTTGATAGAATGCGTAAAAATAATTGAAAAATTAGATAAAGTTATTTAAAAAGTGAAAAGTATTACATGGAGTAGTATATATTTTTACTTTTTAGTGTGTGAAAAATCAGATTATGTTAAAAAAGCTAGAAAACGTGAATATAATTTTTGAATGTGCAATTTAGAAAGTGTGACGATAGTTTTAGGATGGTGGGAATGATAGAGAATCCACAATCATTTATTGGTTCATATTTCACCTTCCACTCCCTATGAGCATTTTTTTAAGTCTTAACAAAGATAAAATTCTCAAAACACATGCATATGCATTGCACAATTTCAATATTCCACATTGAAATGAGCACTGTTGTAATTAATATCATAATTTAATGGTTTTTACGATCATGAGAGTCAAATAAATATCGAAATTTAATGGATTTTTACATTTTGCTCCTAGCCTAGCTTTCATGCTGTTTTTTTACCTCTATTCGCTAAAAGCTCATAAATATTGGCCCCGTTTGGCATCAGCGTTAGAGATTAGCGTTAGCGTTTTCAAAAAGCTATCCGACGGTAGCCTTTAGCGTTAGCGTTTTTAGATTTAATCTACACCATTAAAATTTTATCCAAAACGCTAACGCTAATCGAAAACGTTGTTACCAAACGAAGCCATTAACCTATGTCAAGGTCATTACTTTTAACCTTTTTAGAGTATAAATTTCTAAAGAGTATAATTAAAATTTGTTTGGAGGTGAGATAGATATTGTACTCTCTGTGTTCACCAAAATATAATGGTTCCTATTTTGACTAATGAGAAAAATAAAAGTGTATATTTTTAGTTTACTTTATAATTTTTCTTTTAATATTATGGGTTAAAGTAAAATGTGATGAAGTATAAATTATTAGTGAAAAAAATGATGTGATGGATAGGCTAAAAATTATTATGGGTGAAAAGTACTCCGTAATTTTTTAGTAAAAATAGAAGTAATTTGGTGAAAGAAAAAATGAAAGAGAAAATAATTTCAAAAATGGATAGTGTTTGCCACTTTTTCATTTTTAAATAAAAGATGAAAAGTTTATTATAGAACGAACAAAAAAATTCAAAAATTTAAAAAGTAAAAATATAAATAAATGTGACTTGACTATTTTATTTCAATTATCATAATATCAATATAAACGTGTAAACAGTAGATATAATTTGACAATATAAATAATATGCGAACGAGAATACTCTTATTTCGAGAAATAGAATAGTAGTTATAAAACAAATTTGTGTTAGCACACGATATATATAGAGACGAATTGAATTGAAGCACCATTTGATTTCTTATGATTTCTACTCGTATTATCCATATATAAAAACAATGGCTTTGGAAGCACCACTTTCCACCACAAATGACATCTTCAACCACCATACACCGCCGTGCGCCGCCGCCGCATTGCCCGCCATCTGCTCATCGGATTTCCGCGTCGGCGGCCGCTCCGGCATGTTGCGGCCAAGGCGGACGATCGACTCGGTGATCGCGTGGGAGGGAGAGGGGTACGAGGCGGCAGGCGGTGGCAGGAGGAAGCGGAAGAGGAGGCCGAGGGTATGTAAGAATAAAGAGGAGGCGGAGACTCAGCGGATGACTCACATTGCCGTCGAGAGAAACCGCCGTAAGTTGATGAATGAACATCTCGCCGTCCTCCGCTCCCTCATGCCGGAATCCTACTCTCAAAGGGTAATTATTACTTACTCCCTTTGGATAAAAATATTACTAAGCACTCTTTTAGTTCAAAATATCTTTTCCATTTTTAACTTTTACTCGCCACAAAAAATACTTCTATCTTCAATTATAATCCCCTTTTAATTTTAGAGAGTATTTTACTAATTATTAACCTACTCATCATTATCTTCGTTCTATAAAATCTTCCCTTTTTTAAAAAAACATACTCTTAAAATAAGTATTTTTAGTATTATTTTCTAATTTTATTCTTACTTTATAATAGAGTGAGATAAGATATCTAGGATACATGAATCATATTTAAAAAATAATACTAAAATTATTATTTTGAAGGCATATCTTTTTTCAAATAGAAGGAGTTTTACAAGACTGAAAGAGTATATAATGTAATTTTGGTTGACTTTCCAATTTTGCCCCTGATGTGATGGTAAAAGTAAGATGTGATAGTTTGGTTATTAGTGAAAAAATATGATGTGATAGGTAGGGTTTGAAAAAATAAGGGTAAAAATGGTTTTTTAATAGAAAGTGAAAATGTTTTAAGGAATTCAAAAAACGAAAGGGGAAAAGTTTTGTGGAACGGAGGGACTAGGGAGTATTAATTTAACTAAGTATACATTTAATCTCATCCTACTATGAAGTAAAGCAAAATTTGGAAAATAAAAATTAGACATTAATTATGATTCAAGAAACTTATAAGAAAAAGAAAAAAAAATAAATTTTTATGACGAAGAATTTGGTTCTACATATTGCCTTCTCATTATTTCTTCAACTTTTTTTCTTCTACTTTTATTCCTCTCCAACCAAACAAAAAAAAACTATTTTCTTTTTCATTTTCTTTTCTTTCCCCTTTCAAATTTTCTAAACAAAACATAATGTAAAACCCAAATAAAATTAACACATGATATGTGGTGGTGATCGAAGGGTGACCAGGCGTCAATAGTGGGTGGGGCTATAGAATTTGTGAAGGAGTTGGAACACCACTTGCAACTACTAGAAGCTCAGAAGCTCCGACTGGGAGGCGGCGGCGGCAGAGCAACCACGGAGACAGCCGCGGCCACGCCTCCCCCGGAGGCAGCGGGGGAGACTACGCCGCCGCCTCCGCCGCCGTTCTCCCAATTCTTCGCCCACCCTCAATACACAACGGCAAAAGGCACGGCGGCGGACATCGAGGTGACGTTGGTGGAAACGCATGCAAACGTTCGAATCCGGTGGAGGAGAGGCGGCGGCGGCGGCCGGCAAGTGTCGAAATTGGTGGCGGCGTTCGAGGCATTGCATATGTCTGTTCTTCACCTCAATGTCACCACCTTTCATCCCTTGGTTCTCTATTCTATCAGTGCTAAGGTACGTACTTTTGCCCCCTCCCATATTTTGAAAAAAATATCTTGAAATGTAATTTTTAAATATCATTTTTTTAAATTCTATATTTATTTAATAATCGAAATATTAATGATCAAAATGTTATAATGATTTATTAATTACACCGTATTCATTTTGCACATTTATTTTTTGCATATATTTTTTCATAATCTATTTTAATGTACTCTCTCCGTTTCATAAAACCCTTTTCGTTTCGTTTTTTTTCAATTCCCTAAACACTTCCACTTTCTATTAAAAATGAGTTTTACACTCACTTTTTCATATCCCACTTATCACATCATATTTTTTCACTGATAACGAAACTATCACATCTTATTTTTTCTCATCACATCAAAAGTAAAATTGAAAAGTCTAACCAAAATTACATTTTTCTTATTTTGGCCCAAAGTCAAAATTGAAAGGATTTAAAGGAACGGAGAGATTAATTTTTAACTACTCCCTAGCTATATAGTGAGTGTATAATTAAGCTAAGGTAAATATAAAATGGTAAAAAAAAGAGAGGATATTGAACGTGCAGGTGGAAGGGGGTTGCCAGCTACAATCTGCAGATGCAATAGCATGGGGAGTCCACCACGTCCTCATCGGATTAACACAAGACGAATTACCGCATCCCTCTTAATTATTTTTACTGCGTGCAGTAACTCTTCTCCTTCCACTACCTTTCACTGTAACATCATTTCACCACATCCATCTTCTTCCTCTTCTTCCCAATGTTGACTTGTTAGGGTTTCTGTTTTTTTTTTCGTTTTTTTTTAAATTTAAAAAATAAATTCTGCAGCTCTATATTTAATCAAATCAATGCGGTAGCAACAAGTTAAGCAAGAGTAAAATAAAATACAATATATTTACATGTATCTATTTGATTTGATTTTAATTTTTTTCCGGGCTTTGATAATTAATTAATTAAATTGAAATTAGGTTAGAGATCAATGTAGAATAATTTCGCTAAATTTATACTCCATCCGTTCCACAAGACCCTTCCGGTTTTGACTTTGGGAAAAAATAAGGAAAGTGAAATTTTGGTTGACTTTCTAATTCTGCCCCTGATGTGATGGGAAAAAGTAAGATGTGATAGTTTAGTTATTAGTGAAAAAGTATGATGTGATAGGTAGGGCATGAAAAAGTAGGGGTAAAAGTGGTTTTTTAATATAAAGTGGAAGTGTTTTGTGGAAAGCAAAAAAAACGAAAGAGACAGGGTTTTGTGGAATGGATGGAGTATTGTTGGAAATTGAACATTTAAATTATTATTATATCAATGTATATTTATATATGCAATGTAACGTTTATGTGATCAATGGTCAAACTTAATTTCGTATGAATCCGAAAGATAAAATTACTCCGAGACGGATTGAGTACTCTCTGAAAGTGTATTTTGTATTAAAACAAACAAGACAGTAAAAATTGTGTGCTCCAAACTGATGAGAGTACATAATTTTCGAACATGTGGCAAAGGAGATGCATATTAAAATGATTTTATATATATATATATATATATATATATATATATATATATATATATATATATATATATATATAGTGCGATTAGAGATATATTATAATTATAATTTCTTATTGCTAAAAAAGAGAAATTGTGTCTCATATGTGGATGAACCTTTAGGCGCAAAATGGGAAAAATTAAATCTAAAGTGTAGATGCATGGACCATATGGGGAGAGTAATTCCAAACCATTCTTGCTTGTTACTTCAATAGAGGAATGGGGATAGTCATCACATTTTTAAACACCAAGACAATCACTTGCCTTTCATAATTGATTGAGCTTTTTTAAGTTGTAGTTAAATTTTTTGGTCACATACCCAAAGAATTTATGCACATGACATTGTCCATTTCACTTTGGGAAAAAGATGTGACTTGCTAGGTGTGAAGAAAAAATAATTTTTGTTAAAGTTTAAAAATATTGACTACATAAATATTTACTACAGATGGTTATTTTAATAAATAATCAACAAAAATAAATAAAAATTCTCTATAGAATAAGTGCTAACATGATGGTTATTTTAATAAATAATCAACGAAAATAAATAAAAATTTAAAAATTTGGAATGTAAATAGAAAACCAAAACAATACCTTGTGATGAATAGAACATATTGATCTCAAATGTGGAGGCCCAAACAAAAGCCTTATACAACCCATGGAATACTTACTATCGCAAATTTATATATATATACTCTAGCGACAGGTTCTTATATGGGCTTTAAATTATAGAATGAAGTATTTAGGCTTTTCATAGACATAGGGCTTGGGGGACAAAGGTTCGGCCCATTTACATAAACCTGTTATATTAACAAAATGTACAAATTTTATTTTGATATTTATTTAACTGAGGATCACATTAACTAACAAATATGATGATGTGAATTTTATTCCATCACAAATTAATTATCTCTTATAGCAAGACCTGACTAAGTTCGTTTTAAATTCAAGATAACATATTTATTTAAATCATTCATCATTAAAAAGCCGAATCATAATCTTCATAAAACGAGTGATATATATGGGTATGTCATTTTAATTAACAAGTGATGAACGAAAATTAGTTAACAAAAAATGACCGATGACTTATGGGCTAATATGATTAATTCGAAACGACAACGGCATTTCTTAAAATAACTACGCTAGGTTTAAACAAGCTATCGTCGTATCGACATTATCGTTATTTGAACGAAAATAAATTGAAATACTCCCTCGTCCGAGCAAAGTTTATTTACTCACCTTTTTTGCAATGGAGACTTACCTTGAGAGTTGAGACAAGTAAAAATGTATCATGGGTGGTCTGGAGGGTGTGCAAATTGGTCAACCGCACAGGACCCCTAAAATTTTAGGTCCCCATATTTTTAAATTTATTAATAATTTTAAAGGAAATGTATTCTAAAAAAATAAAATAGTGCCCAAAATGTAAATTTAGGATCCGGCCAATTTTATTTTTTCATTTTTCGGGACCTCCCCTGAAATGTATTACCCCAAGTATGTCATCATAATAAGGTTATTAGAAGTCTAACTTATAGGGCCCACAACCCCTTTTTCATCCCAACTTTACCCCAATTTTTTTTACCGCTTTCCCATTTCCATTTCCATCGTTTTCCACTAAAAAAACCCATTTTTTTTCTTCATATTTTCCCAATCAAATGGCGAAGAAGACTAACAACCGCATTGTGTGTACCAACATTGCAACAGTGCTGGTTCTAATGCTCATCTTTTGGTTCATATTTCAATGGGTTTCCAAAAGACAAGAATACCCCTGCAACTTGAAGATGTTCCCGGCCATCACTGCGCCCGCTGCCTCGATTCTCTGCGCGGCATTCGGATGCACTCTCGTCGCGGGAATCGCAGGCGGGCTCTCCAGTGATGTCCGGTGCCAGCTCATCTCCTACTTGGCCCCAGTGCTTTTTGTCGTCCTCTTGCTTTTGGGGTCGGCGGCTTTTATGGTCGCAGTCGTCCAACCTGCGGGCCTCGCCGCCGTGCGCGGCGGCGGGGACCGCAGGTTGGATGACTACTCCGGCTGGCTTCGTCGGAGGGTCGTAAATGCCGAGAGGTGGTATGAGATCACAAGTCGTTGCCTTGGGTCTTCGAGTGTGTGTTCGGAGTTGAGCCAGAAATACCGCATTCCTCAAGATTTCTTTTATGCCCTTCCTCATTTTACCCCCCTTCAGGTAATTTATCAAAATATAATTACTCATCTTTGACTCTATAGTATCTCCCGGGCCCCATATATGTTAAAATCAGAAAATTTACACTAGAACATAATGACTTTTTTCTCAAATATCATCATATATTTTTATTTCTCAATTTAACACTTTTATTCATTATGCATTAGTCATTATTCAACTAAATGTTCACCGTCACTGGAAAAGTATTCCTTGTTCGGGACATTATTAAATCTTATTTAGGCAATAAAAAAATTTAAGCCCTACATTGGGAAATAGCATATGTTTTAGTACGTGCTATTTAGTACAAATATTTCTTAAAATTATTATCTTTGTGAGTTGTCTGATTGTGAGTTAAACACGATGCATGGTGTCAAAAGTAATGCCAATGCAAATGTACATTTCCTTATTTTTTTTAGGTTTCCTTAATTTTTAATTGATAGACGAAGATTTTGTTTAGAACGTAAGAAAAGAAAAATAAAAAACATTTTACATGACAGACTGAGAAAAAATTTAATTGTTGTATTGGATGGACAGAGGGAATGTTGTATGCCACCAAAGGAATGTGGGTACCAATATGTGAACCCAACATACTGGTTTAACGCAAACAACACGGGAGCAAGTCGAGATTGTATGTCGTGGACCAACAACCAGACCGAGCTTTGCTACTATTGTTCTTCTTGCCAAGCAGGTTTCCTAGCCAACCTGACCCAAGAATGGTCAAGGCTAAGTCACATTTTGGTCCTAATTTGTGTGCTTTTGGCCATAGTTTGTGTCTTTGTGTGTCTTGAGATTAAAAAAAATGCGACAGTTGATGGTCGAGACTATAACTCCGGCAAAGGCAACACTCATCACAAGTAATTAGTTTTATCCTCCAAATCTCAAGTTAATTAACTCTCTATAAAAATGGTTTATGTAATATACTAGTATGTGTTGAAGTGTATGTTAATGCTCTTTAATGAGTTATTTTATAATACAATTCTAAGTACATGATTACATGAATATTATACGGAGCATACTTCTTTTTCAATTGATATATACTTGGCGAAATTTACAGTAAAAAGTACTAAGAGAGATGTTTTTCGCCAATGTAGTACTTAAACTTTTTTATTTTTTCTAAATAATACTTGAATAATATCTAGTGGCGGACACAATATAAGTGATAGTAGACATTTAGTTTCAACAATGTCCAGTGGCGCTACATATTTACCTGAACAATGACCAGTGGACATTGAACATTACAGTGGTACTACATTTAGAAATAAAAATATATGATACAACATTGGAAAAATATTATATTTTAGTACTATTTCAGTTGATTCCTCCTATACTTGTATGTTTACTAGCTAGTGGAAAAAATTGTTCACTAAGGGTGTGTTTGGTTGGTGGGGAAATATTTTCTAGCCAATGTCCTTTTGATAAATTTTCAATTCCACGAGGAGATTAAACAGGGGCGGCTAATAAAGAACAAAGTAGCTAGGATCTCATATACTCCCTCCGTCCACAAATAAACTTCTCGTTTATTATTTACAGGTCAAACTTTTTTCATTTTATTAACCTATTTTCGTCACCTAATTGATAAAATAATATAATCATGTCACCTCTAGTTTTGCAGATTTCTTGATATAATTTTTTGATATGTAATTTTTATTTTTAAATTTTACACCATTTTTCATATAAAATGATTTGAAAATAACTTCAGTCAAACATCGTAACGCGCAACGGGAAGTTTATTTGTGGACGGAGGGAGTATAGATGATCAGTGACCTGCAATAATAGTCAAAGTATTCAAGGTATATATTGATTATATTTCACGTCCCACAAAACCTTTCTACTTTCAATTTTCATTTGTTCTAAAAAATTCTTCTGTTTTCAATTAAAAAAGTTACTTTTATCCCCTATTACTCCCTCTGTCCTAAAACTATCTTCTCGTTTGTGTTTACGAAGTTTGACCGGTCTTATTTTTCAATTCAATTTATTTGATTGTAGAGGTAAAATTAAAAAATAAAATTTATATGTTTAAATACTACATCAAAAGTTCTTCAATACAAGAGGTGGCAAGACTATTTTATTTTATCAAATAACTAACGAAAATAAGTAAAGAAATTAATTTAAGTTTGACCGTGTGAATAGTAACTTGGAATATACTTTTAAGACGGAGGGGGTCATTCTTAGCCTACCTATCATATCACACCTTTTCTCTATTATTCTAGCCATCGCATCCTACTTTATCCATCACATCAAAGAATATTTTTAAAAAGTCAACACTAAAATATACCTTCTTAAATTTTTTAAAAGTCAAAATGGAAAGTTTTTTCAGAACGGAGGGAGTACAAAATTGCACATAAGAAAAAAAAAGTGGAAAACATTGAAGGGTGATAATATCGCCATTTTGTTGGATTTACTAATCCATGGGTAAACCATTTTAGTGTTTGCCCAATAAGCATGCACCTTTCAATTCTCCCAAAGACCTGTAGCGCAATATAATTAAATTTGTTTTTATTCCATCTTTACTTTTAAATCTGAATGCATATTTCAACATTTGAGTCGAAGAAATTGTACTTTCATGGCATATTAAAAAATAACATATCTTTACAGATATCAGGGTTTATCTAAATTTATTTTTGATCTAATTTAATTAGTTAAATAATAGTACAAGTTTTAATTCCATCCCAAAAAAATTATAGATTTAAAAACAAAAAAAACAAAAAGTAGCTACATGAGTATACTATTTTTACAAATAATTAATGAAATTAAGTAAAGAAAGGAAAAAAGTTCAACCCGCGAATATATAGTTGAGTGACACGATTATTTGTAGATGGATTAAATCTAAATGCAAAGGAAATATGATAAATACTCCGTAAAAAACAAACATACTATGAAAATATTGTATTAAACACTCTTTCAAAAATAATGATTATGTGTATTAAAAAAACACAGTGTATAAACTTTCATCAAGTATTAGAATATAATTAGCATTATAATTCAATAACTTTAAAAAATGGAAAGTTTTGTGGTAATAATGCAATGTCTTAGCTTCATATTTCTCATATATATTACACTTGTGTCCTCAACAACAAGAAACATTTGAGTATTTTAAACTCTTGTAGATTATAAAGGTAAAGGAGAAAAGTGCACCGTTCGCACGAACTCTTTAAAAAATGTTTGATTTATTCTTGAATATTACAAAGTGTATAGTTTACCCTCGAACTCTTTGAGAATAACATGATTTACCCCTGAACATTAAAAAGTGCACCAAATACCACTATATAATTTAAAACCTTGCACCGTTGGTCCTAAAATGCTAAATAGTGCGAGTATGATTCATCTGGCTCTTGTAAATTATCCAAAGTACTCTTCCCCAGAATTATCATCTCTGTTCAAAATGTTTATGGATAAACCGTGCAATTTCTGAAGAGTTCAGAGGTATTTGGTGCACTTTTTAAAATTCAGGGGTAGATCGTGTAATTTCTAAAAAAAACTTAGATATATTTGGTATAGTTTTTAATGTTCAGACGTACACTGCACAATTTCCGAAAAAATCGGGGATGAACAGTACACTTTATATTTTCAAATCATTTTATATGGAAAAAATTGTGTGGGTTAAAAAAATAAAAATAAAAAATACATCAAAAGATTTACAACACTAGGTACAAGTGACATGACGGCTATATCATTTTATGAAGTGGACATTGAAAATAGACTAAAAAGTAATTAAAGTTTAATCTTATGAATAATAGACGGGAAGATTATTTTTGGCGGGATGAGTATAAAGCTAGAGTTGTAATAGTGTAGAAATTGATCCATGCCCAAACAAATATGCTTTAAAGGGTACGCCCATGCAACTTGTATATATGTTGTGACTCATTGTTGCGTCTTGAAAGCAATTTGATCCCACCATAAGAACTGAATTTAAGTGGGAGATGTAAGTTTCGTTTGGTAACAGCGTTTTTTATTAGCGTTACGTTTTGGATAAAATTTCAACGGTGCAGATTAATTCTGAAAACGCTAACGCTAAAGGCTACTGTTGGATAGCTTTTTCAAAACGCTAACGCTAATCTCTGAAGCTGATGCCAAATAGGGCCGTAATATAATTATATATATATATATATATGATATTTAGTAGCAGTAATAGCATACAACACTTAATTAATGTTTCCTTTTGGCATTTTCCTACTTCCCACATTTGACTTGTCTAGATAGACACTCCCCACTGTTTTTTCTATTCTCTTCATTAATATCTCATGCCTAAATATATATTCTTTTATATATATATATATATATATATATATATATATATATATATATATATATATATATATATATATATATATATATCAATCTTATCCTCCTCCACATTTCCAACTTTCAAGGCTTATCTCTTAAGGTGGATCCCACAGTGTACTTGGGCCTATGATGGATCACCACATAACTTTTGTGCTCTGGCCCAATTTGAAAAGCTGTCTACTACCCATCTCTCTCTCTCTCTCTTTTTGCAGAGTACATTTTTGCCCTTGCCAAATATGGGCATTTGGAAAGCTATAGGCTACTCCACTTATTTACTTAAGGTTAATTTAGGCCCTCCCATCCCTTGTCTCTAGCTGCTTAGGGATGTGTCATCCCAATTTGCATTAGTATATTTAATGATGATGAACAATGCAGGCCACTTTGAATTAATCGTCATTGTTTGATTTCACAGAATTTTTGAAAAATGCTTAAAAATAAAAGGCAAAGAATGAAAATGTGTTTAAAAGAAAAGAAATATTGCAGGCCAAATATATTTTTTATATTATTAGGTAAGTAATGAAGTAGGATAATTATATTGGAACAAAATAAAAAGAAAAAAACAATTAATTCGGAGCGAATGGAGTAGATAAAAAACAATAAAAGTACGGACATTAAAAAAACTATGGATGATTAATCCTTTCAATTACATTAGTAATAATGAGTAATGACCTTTAAAACTTGTGTAGTTGCATCACTTGTATGCCCATTTTACTTCAAACATTTGTATATATACATGCCATGTAGAAAGCATATTAAAGTATTCGAACTACGAAGCACAGCGTAATATGATTATTAAAGAATAAAATTAACACATTTAAAACTGCATTAAAAGTTCTACGAAATATGTGGTTATATAACTATATTATTTTATCAAATGAGTAACGAAAAAAATATTCCATAAATGAAATTTGATAATGTGAATAGTAAAGAGTTAACTTAATTTTGGACAGAGGAGGTATTTGATGAACACCATGG